AATATAAAAAGAGTCCAAAATGAGATAGAAAATTTCTACATTTATTTGCTCAATTTTTGCAAAGTCATGCACCATAAAGGTTTTGATATAAGTAGCCATCTCATGACTTATAAGTAGGATGGATCTCTATAAATAATAGAAAAAAAGAAAACAAATAAATCAAGAATACTTTAGACGCGTAAGAGAAGTAGCGATATGAGAACATCAAAGTCTCCGACATCAAAGAAGTAGCCTGGGAAAACAGCAGATACAACCCGATAGAAAATAGATTGGCCTGAAATAAGACACAGCGGGTAAAATTCTAGGATCAAAAGGAAATGCATGCCTGATAATCAGTGAGTGCTCCATATGATGCACTTCGAGAATCTCCCCATCGACCTTGTGGATACTGGTCCCAACCAACAGTTCGTGAGATGTAGCTTTTGGGACGATTAGCCCTACCATCATTTTCCAGGATACATCAGATGTTTATTAACTAATTAGGAAAAACTATGGGGAAATTCTGAAGCTCTAAGTAACTTCTACTTACCAGAATATCGGACGAACGTCTTCTTTCACCCGGAAAACATTTGCTGGGCGTCTCCATGGCAAAGACCTTGAAATTTTGGACTCCTCAATAAGCCCAAGGTTCTGAAGGATGATTAAATATAAGTATGATGTATTCCTTTCACAGTCATAAGTAGTTTGTGGAGGTGAAGCTACTAAAGTAGACAGGCAAAGAAAACAAACCATCAATATTGCCAGTGCAGATTTCTCCATGTTTAACGTGTACAGATGTAGAGTTCTGATCCCACTAGCAATAATCTTCTTGCACATTTCTGTCCCTAGGTGAATCCCATAGGCCCTGACCGCTTCTTCGTTGTCCTTGATTGGTTCCAAGGCAGCCATAATCTCGGGTGGAATCTACAGTAAAACATAAGAATTTTGATAAATGCTTGTAAACAGGAACATAAAAACAAAAAGAAAAAAAAAACGAAATGACAGGAAAAAAGCGTGTCATCATACGACTTCTTGCTAAAAACAAAGTGCAAGTTGCATATATACTAATTCACTGTTAACTAAATATGAGACTCACAAATTCTAATGCTTTCTATATTGCATAATTAAATAAAAAGCAATGGCAATTATTTCTGCTGTCTTGCGATGCAGAACTAAGAGCATCACCAATCTAGCCACTATCTAGCATGCAGAACTAGATAATGTTCATCCCACTATCTGTATTTTGTTTAAAAATTATGGTGAATGATGTAGTATCAATATCTCATTTCACCCTTTAAGTTATGATTCTCATCTAGATGTGAATAGTCTATTACAAAATTATTAATTAACAGTNATCCGGTCATGCGGAGGAACCCCTTATAATTGTTAATGGGCATGATACCAGGTACAATGGGACAGGTGATTCCAATTTGACGACAGTCATTGACAAATTTTAGGAAGATGTCAGTGTCGTAGAAGAGTTGAGTAACAATGAGATCGGCTCCAGCATCAACCTGAAAATTAAACATCACGTGAAGAACTTGCACAAGCTGAGATATGTCCAATTCACTACACTGAGATACTATACAAACTAAATTCCGGTGAAGAAGACCACCTTCCTCTTAAGATAAGCAAGGTCACTCTGATATGCCTCTGGTGGGGCCACTCCATCCTGAATAACATCAGGATGTGCCTCTGAATAAACAATGAAGGTGAAGTAAGAACATATTCCGGTGAACAAATTCACCGAATACACATAAACAAGCAGCGAACAAAATCAGTCCAGGACATGAAATTAATTATACAAAACTTTGGAACAGGGACTCAGCTAGAACTAAGATAAATCATGATAGATTCAACATGGCCTTCAAACTCATGTCAATTTCAACAGCACCGACAGTTTCACAACACAAGAACATCATTTACATTTACTTCTGCCAAAAAAAAATAATAATAATAATAGTAATAATCACATAATTAGTACCTGGATATCCGGCAACAGTAATCCCAAAGTAGTCCCCGTACTGAGCCCTAATATGCTTAACCTGCAATACAAACAGGGACAAACACAATCAGCAATCCACAAGCTGAATCACCGACATCAATCACACAACAGGCCGACTGGGGCATTCGTTCCAAACAGCCCTCACCAGGTCAAGGGCGCACGCGAACCCCCCTTCGACCTGGACGAACTTGTCCTGGCCGTGCGGCGGGTCCCCCCGGAGGGCGAGGACGTTCTGGATGCCGTTGGACTTGATGGTGGTGAGGGCGTGGTCGATCTTCTCGACGGGCATGTTGGTGCAGGTGAGGTGCATCATGGTCTCGACGCACACCATGTTTTGCATGCGGTTGGCGATCTCCAGAGTCAGATCCGCCGTAGACCCGCCGGCTCCCCATGTGATGTCGCAGAAGGTGGGGTTGTGCGCCACCATCCGCTCCATCCTCTCGAACAGGTTGTCGACGCCGTCCTCCGTCTTGGGCGGGAAGAACTCGAAGGAGAACACCACCCGGCCGTCGTTGGTGGCCGCCGCCTCCTGGATCTTATCTATCACCTTCATCTCCGACCTGCACCCAACGGCGTTCGTTTCAAGCAAATTCAACCCAATTACTTCCCGCTAGCTCGACAGATATGAGAAATGGAAAGGAGAATGGAGAATGTAAGCTGTAGAATTAATTATTGTCCTCCATTGCTGGCCTTGATTGGCTGTTCAAAGATAAAGCTGGACCAGATCTGAAGTGTGCTACTGCATTCTGAGTCGGTAAATATATGAATTCGGATCATCTTTTCTTTCTTTTATTAGAGATGAAGAAAAACGAGGATAGCGAAGGTGGGTAGGTGTAGACTGTAGAGGGGCTAATGTGTCTTTGCACATGGATGTTAAGTGGCGCCACCAATAAACCAACCTCCTAACTCTCCAAGTACTAGCCATCACCAAGTGGAAAATGACCAATAAGACCTCGAACCTTATTAACAGGTCAGTTTTTTGTAGACTGCGATTGGAGACCATCGTGCGGTTGGTGGACAAAAAAACTGAACTGCTATTCACTTGTCTCCCTATTCAATTGCTATTCACTACTTTCTCTTTCTATTTTTTTCCTCTCGATTTTACACGGCTCTTTTGATCGTAAAAAAAAATCAAAAAAATGCAAAAAAAATTATGACATCGGCAAGACATTGAAAATTGACCATGTATTTTTTTTAACTTTATAAATAATTTTTAAATTTTATTTTTTATTTTTTATTTTGGCGCATCCGACAAGGCCGAACGCGCACGGTGGCGTCCTACCGGTGAGCCGTGCGCGTCCGGCCTCGCTGGTAGGACGCGCTAAACAAATAAAAATAAAAAATAAAAAAATTATTTACAAAGTAAAAAGAAAAAATACATAGTCAATCTTCAATGACTTGCCGATGTCATGGTATTTTTTTGGCATTTTTTCAAAAAAAAATTACGCTCAAAAGAACCGTAAAAAATCGAGAGGAAAAGAGTAAAGAGAAAGAGTAGTGAATGGCAAAAACGTCTAAGGGGAGCGATGATTAGTAATAAAGGGGGCGGTGATAGTAATGCCCCAAAAAAAGCTCTATTTTATTTAACATTGAAAATGTCCCATAGAGAATGCCACATAAAACTAAAAATGCAACTTTCCCTTTTTAACCAACTCAAAAATTAGTAATCTATTTATATAAAAAACTTGTAATCATTTAAATTTTTATCTATAGTAATATAAAAAGGTTGTTACAAATAACATTTGACTAAAAAATAAAATGTTGACTTTTGAATTTAAGTAAGATGATTAAAATCACATGTGTTAATTAATTTCGCCAGACCGTTATTTATTTGGGGATATTTTTATCTTTTTTTCATTAATCAATGTGGTTCATTTGTAAATCACATGCAAATGAGGTTTAAAAACTCCGAGATATCTCTATTATGATCCTTATTTTATGGTAACTAAATTGCTTAATCTTGGTATAAAAAATGCTTTTAAAAATCCGAGTTTTATTTCTATCATAAATCCTAGTGCCTTTATGAAATTAGGCAATTTTGTTGTTCATTAATTTTGGTTAACGTAACGTGCAAGTTGATATCCCGTAAAAATTGTGTGCGCTTTTACCCAAATCAATTGGCATCCGATAAATAATTGTTAGATTTGTATGTTTTTATTATCTATTACTATAAAAAAGCAATAGGAATTTACTTTAAGTAGAAAGTAAACTCCCGTCTAAAATTTTAAATTTTACTGCAATTGGTAACTTTTTTGAAATTCTTTAAAAATTGGCGGTTGATTTGTAATTTGAATTTCAAATTCATTCAAACATTTAGAGGAAAATATCAGAAGCAGATTTTTTTGGATACATTCCATTGTATCTTAACTTACATATAATAACATTTCTAACAAACATTAATATACATGAAATATTTATCATTATATAAAAAAATATTACTTCTATAAGTGTTATAAATAATAATGACGTTATACGACAATAAATTTCTGAATAAAATAATATTTGAGTATTACGATGAACTAAAATATGTCAATTTCACCTTAAGGGCTCTTTGACTTCACAGCTAGCTCTCACTATCGGTTTCGTATGTTATCCCCGCCTAAACGCTATGCTTCTGGCGAGGAACTCAAATTCAAATCGCCTGTTCGGTCGAGCGCCCACAAACCTTGCAGTCAAGCAAATTTGCACCTTTCCCTCTTGGTTCTCGTAACTAAGTACCTGGTTAAAGCAGATCTTATTCCATCCCTATGTTACAGTTACAATACAATAAACTCTTACGTACCTAAGGAGAGATTTGACCTATATAGATAGGGAATAAAAGGAATTACCGAGAGTGGTGAGTGCTAAGCGCTTTTCATGTCGTGGCTTGGGCTTTCGTTCCTCTCTCTATGGTCGAGTGACTCCGTTCTTGGACTACCAATCCACCATTATCACAAGTCTATTTTGAGGTGTTTGGGGAAGGCCATTGGTAAGTTGATCAAAAATAGACTACCAAACACTCAATCAAAGGGTTGATTTGCTAGATTCGCGTTGTTCACCATTTGCTTACCCTACAAACAAAGCGAGACGAAGAAAATCCCCAACGAACGAAGCCAAGCGAAGTTCAGTCATAGAAGTCGAGCGTAACCTTTTCTCAACTTCGTCGACCCTCCATTGCGAACGATATGTAACCCGCAGACCTTCTTCTCTAAACTTCTCTAACAGCTAGCCATCGGTACCAAATCCGAGTGCTTATGCAATTCCGAGTGGAGGAGTTGGCATAGGGGAAGAGCGGACCAATTATTATTTTTCTGTATTAAAAAATAAATATATGTTAAAATATTATTTATAGTAATACAAACGGGTTAGCGAACTAATATATTGTTAAAATAAATTTTTGAAAAAATACTCTAAGTTACGAACCTCGTGCATCGCACGGGATTCTCAGTTAAAATCAATTTAATATCCTTATTTTTTGTTAACTAAATTTCTTAATTTTAGTACGAATCACGTTCAACTTTTAAAAAAAATGAGTTTGCAACCAATCCAAAATCCTTACCTTGTTTTTTCCCAAAAAAAAAGTCAAAATCCATTAATTTTGTTAAACTATTCAATTTGATATCCCGTTAAAATTGCGTGTAAGTTCATTAAATCAATTCATAACCCAAAAAACATGAATCTGGTTATAGAAGCCGCGGTAAAATGACGAATTCTTTAACATTTTACGTAGTAAATTTTAAGATCGAACACTAAAATTTGCCAGTTGAAAAATGAAGACGAATTAACCAAAAATCGTACAAAAATATGAAATCAAAAAAATTAAAAATCGTACAAAAATTTATATACATCAAACCGAACGAAATCTTTAAAGAGTTTAACAAATAAAAACATATCAGTGAAAATTAAAAATCGGAAATGATACTTGAGCTAGAAAACATAAATTAAGAAAGAAACAGAATTTCATGTCTGAAATTACAAAAGAATAGGAAATTTCACTGAATAATCGAGATAAAAGGAAAGAATGAAGCGGCAGAAAGTGTAAAGCTAAACCTACTGCCAACCAAACAATATTTATACTATCCTAGGGTCGATCTCACACGTCGGATGAACGTCTTCTTTCACCCGAATGAACGTCTTCTTCTGGACGTGGCAAAGACCTTGAAATTTTGGACTCCTCAATCAGCCCAAGGTTCTGAAGGATGAATTAAATATAAGTATGATTGTTTCTTTTCAATCATAAGTAGTTTGTGGAGGTGAAGCTACAAAAGTAGACAGGCAAAGGAAACAAACCATCAATATTGCCAGTGCAGATTTCTCCGTGTTTAAAGTGTACAGATGTAGAGTTCTAATCCCATTAGCAATAATCTTCTTGCACATTTCTGTCCCCAGGTGAATCCCATAGGCCCTGACAGCTTCTCCGTTGTCCTTGATTGGTTCCAAGGCAGCCATAATCTCAGGTGGAATCTACAGTAAAACATAAGAATTTTGATAAATGCTTGTAAACAGGAACATAAAAACAAANAAAAGCATGTCATCATACGTCTTCCTGATAAAAACAAAGGGCAAGTAGCATATATACTAATTCACTGTTAACTAAATATGAGACTCCCAAATTCTAATGCTTTATATGTTGCATAAATTAAATAAAAAGCAATGACAGTTATTTCTGCTGTCTTGGGAGCTTAATCCGTTTTATGCATTACCACAACCTAATATGGCCGTTGGCAGAGTTGGTAGAGACAAGAACAGTGAACTGAGAAGAATCAATACAAAGGTTCTATAAGAGATTGATGAACTTGACCACTATCTTGCGTACCTGAAACCTTGTTTTTGCAAAGGGTAAATTAACTTACTCACTGCAGTTGAAAATTCTATAAGAAACATTCTGTACTGTGCAAATTGATTCTCTAAATGACTCTTCATAATAGCCTGTGGACCTTTGATTCAGTTTTTACTTCATAGTTAGCTGTTAGCTGGTATCATAAGCGATCTGACCTGATCTAGAAGGGAAGATCAAGTCATGAAGATGCTATCCACTGAATACAGATTTATGCTAAAGAAAAGGAACAAAGAATCTGATTCAATGCAAAGTATTTCAATTAGCCCCCGGCATAATTTTAATTCATAGCAATGCCATCTAAGGGGCTGAAGCAAAAGATGTATGCCACTGTTTTATTATTAGAAGATATTGAAATATTTACAGATTCCTGATTTATAAATGTTCAGTTAATTTTCAGTTTTCACTTGTCCGACTTTCACTTCTAAGCCAGGAAATAGAACTTCCACCTCTACATGGCTTTGATAGAAATTCAAAGTAGGGAATTTAATTTGGCAGCTCAGAGGTGGCGTTGTTCCTTTCCTTTCTTAAATCCACCTTGAACACTCGCCAATCTAGCCACTAGCCAGCATGCAGAACTAGATAATGTTCATCCCACTATCTGTATTTTGTTTACAAATTATGGTGAATGATGCAGTATCAACATCTCATTTCACTTTTTAAACTATGATTCTCATCTAGATGTGAATAGGCTATTACAAAATATTAATTAACAGTCAACAGAGTTCTATATCTCCTGGCATCTTGAAACTTGATACCAATTGGAAGGGGGCAAAATAGAGAAATAACCAACATAGATGTATCTTGAGATATCGTAAACAGTGAGGCCACCACCTTAGTTTTGCACAATCCGGTCATGCGGAGGAACCCCTGATAATCTTTAATAGGCAAGATACCAGGTACAATGGGACAGGTGATTCCAATTTGACGGCAGTCATTGACAAATTTTAGGAAGATGTCAGTATCGAAGAATAGTTGAGTAACAATGAGATCGGCTCCAGCATCAACCTGAAAATTAAAACATCACAAGAAGGACTTGCACAACTGAGACATGCCCAATTCACTACACTGAGATACTATACAAACTAAATTCCAGGGAAGCAGACCACCTTTCTCTTAAGATAAGCAAGGTCATTCTGATATGCCTCTGGCGGGGCCACTCCATCCTGAATAACATCAGGATGTGCCTCTGAATAAACAATGTAAGGTGAAGTAAGAACATATTGCGGTGACAAAGAAATTCACCGAATACACTTAAACATGCAGCGAACATAATCAGTCCAGCCAGGACATGAATATTATAATTATACAAAACTTTCGAACAGGGACTCAGCTAGAACTAAGAAAAATGATAACAGATTCAACATGGCCTTCAAACTCATGTCAATTTCAACAGCACCGACAGTTTCACAACACAAGAACATTCATTTACATTTAATTCTGCCAAAGAAAAAAAAAATCACATAATTAGCACCTGGATAACCGGCAACAGTAATCCCAAAGTAGTCCCCGTACTCAGCCCGAATATGCTTAACCTGCAAAACAAACAGGGACAAACACAATCAACAATTCCACAAGCTGAATCACCGACATCAATCACAGAAGAGGCCGACAGGGGCATTCGTTCCAAACAACACTCACCAGGTCAAGGGCGCACGCGAACCCCCCTTCGACCTGGACGAACTTGTCCTGTCCGCGAGGCGGGTCCCCCCGGAGGGCGAGGACGTTCTGGATGCCGTTGGACTTGATGGTGGTGAGGGCTTGGTCGATATTCTCGACTGGCATGTTGGTGCAGGTGAGGTGCATCATGGTCTCAACGCACACCATGTTTTGCATGCGATTGGCGATCTCTAGCGTCAGATCCGCCGTAGACCCGCCGGCTCCCCATGTGATGTCGCAGAAGGTGGGGTTGTGCGCCACCATCCGCTCCATCCTCTCGAACAGGTTGTCGACGCCGTCCTCCGTCTTGGGCGGGAAGAACTCGAAGGAGAACACAACCCGGCCGTCGTTGGCGGCCGCCGCCTCCTGGATCTTCTCTATCACCTTCATCTCCGACCTGCACCCAACGGCGTTCGTTTCAAGCAGATTCAACCCAATTACTGTTCGACAGAAATGAAAAATGAAAAAGAGGATGAAGAATGTAAGCGGTAGAATTAATTAATGTCCTCCATTACTAACTTGATTTGTTATTATATACCTTTTTAACGAGTCGGCGGGGGCAGCGGGATGTCGAGCCGGCGATGCGTCGGAGGCGGCGAGGGGAGGAGGCGCGATCGCGTGTCAATGCTTTGCGTCGGAGACTGCGTCGGAGGTGAGGAGTACGGTGGCTGGTGCGGACGTGCGACGGTGGCTGGTGCGGACGTGCGGTGGTGGCTGGTGGCGTGGGGTTGGCCGGCTGGGTGAATTTGAGAAGAGGAGACGGGAGAGCGGTATAGAAGAGAAACTGACAAAGCGAGGCGGGTGGAATGAGAGAAAAAAACCTACATTTAGTTAATTATATTAGGGGAAAGTCCACTTTTGGTCCTCCATATTTAGGAGTATCCAGATTGAGTCCCTATTATGTTTTAGTGTCCAATTTTAGTCCTTAAAACAAAAAAAATGTAGTCCCTATAGTAGGGAAAAATCCACTTTTAGTCCTCCATGTTTAAGAGTATCCAGACTTAATCCCTATTATGTTTTGATGCCCAATTTTAATCCTTAAAACAAAAAAATGTAGTCCCTTTACCTCAATTTATGTGAATTAACGGTCCATTTTTGCTCGACGTTATGTTCTTTATTTTTTTAAAATTTGTTGACTAATGTCAACTTTGACCAAAGAAAAATAAAAGAAAATTTAAATGCTGAAAAAAGGTAAAATAAAAGGCAGAAATGGTGAACTGCAGTGAAACGTAGAAAAAAAAAACCTGATCGCCTAGAGACTAAATTCGATCAAATGGATGGAAATGGTGTGGTATTTTGTAGATGTGAGCTGGTTGCAAAGTTGACTACATGCTGGAAGGATGATAATCCCGGGAGAAGATTCTTGAGTTGCCCTCTATATCCTGTAAGTACTTTCTGTGAACTTCAATTGGAATATGATAAGAAATGGTTAAAAAACAGAGGGTTGATAGGTGCAATTTTTTTCTATGGCATGACCCGGAAATGGGTGCAAGAGCAGTAGCTGTGATTCCAGGCTTGCTCCGCAGCGCGAATGCTAGGGAAATAGAAATCGGACGAGCAAAAATTTTAATTTAATTTGGTGCAATTTCTTGTTTTAGTTTAATTTTTTATTAATATATTTTCAGCATTTAAATTTTCTTTTATTTTTCTTTGGTCAAAGTTGACATTAATCAACCAATTTTAAAAAAATAAAGAACATCACAGTCGAGCAAAAATGGACCATTAATTCACAGAAATTGAGGTAAATGGACTACATTTTTTTGTTTTATGAACTAAAATTGGGCATCAAAACATAATAGGGATTATGTCTGGATACCCCTAAACATGAAGGACTAAAAGTGGATTTTTCCCTATTATAGGGACTACATTTTTTTGTTTTAAGGATTAAAATTGGGCACCAAAACATAACAGGGACTCATTTTTTTGTTTTAAGGACTAAAATTGGGCACCAAAACATAATAGGGACTCAGTCTGGATACCCCCTAAACATGGAGGACCAAAAGTGGACTTTACCCATTATATTACTTATATAAAATATATATTTTTTCATTTTTAACCCTTCATTTTTGTCTCTTTGACTTGATTGATCATTCATAAAATAAATGTCTTTTAGATATTTTGTTCATATTCTTTCATTTTTAACTCTCCATCTCCATCGTTTCACATAACATCCATTAAATAGAGTTAATATTGTCAAGAAAAAAAATCTTAATTAGTGTGTTTCATTCGAATGGATATTATGAAGTTCATTTGTATTTTACTATTTATATATATATATAATTCAAAACAATAATATATATCCTTATAAATAAAATTTAAATCTATTTATCAAACTAAATTAAATTGTATCAAATAAAACTATAAATTATATTATAAACTAATAGAAATTGGTATGTATTCTTTTAAAAATGAATAAAGTTAAAAAGCTTGAAGCACAACTGATACGACACTTGATGTATTAAACATTTAATTAAGTAAAAAATTAATCTATTTTGCTTAATATTAAATAAACATATTCTACACTTATACATATACATATCACCATATTATTTCGATTTATTTAAGATATATATTTTTGTACTTATGTAATAGTAAATAACATCGATATTTTTATATGATATAAGTAAAAAAATTCAACACGGGTTGACATTTTCATTTAATGTACGGGTGTTTAATTGTTATGATTAAAATAATATAATTTGACAATTTAATAAATACCTACAGTAATGTTTTATATAAAATTAAATTATTTTAATTTTTACAAAAATTAAAATTTTAATATTTTTCACAAAAGCTTTCTAATTCAATACCCGTGTAATACACGGGTATTGTACAAGTGTTTTATTATTTATAAATAAAAACCACATTTGATAACTTTAGAACACAATTGCAATTTTTCTCTTGAAGCTCACTTTATATGATCTCTGGGTCTTAGCGTCCTACCATCTGCCCTTTGCTCATACCTTATTTGCTCAAGCCTTGCGTGTTTTCTGACGTGGTCAAACACTGATAACGAGTTGAAACTTCATATCATACTTGACCTAACCACTCAGATCGGTTCACTGAGATATTATGAGTGTTATATCAGTATAACTAAGTCGTGTAGTTAGGAGTATCTTTTGAGTTTATTTTGTTCATTTAACAGACGTCATCATTTATAATTTTCTTTTTTTTTATTATTATTTTCTACATGAGTATGAACTATAAATATGGCACACTTTGTAGTCTTTATGAATTTTTGTTGAGCTAAGAAAATGAATTCGATGAATTCAACAACTCTGTCCTAAATTGATAATGGAACTCGATCAGTTTTAACATTTTCTACTATTTGATTCATCTATAATAATTATTTACTACTCTTTCGTTATTTTTCGTAAATTGATATATCTATTGTTTGGAAAGTTTGTTATTATAAAATGATGGACAAACTTTATACACGACAATTCAATTCGTAAATTAATGAAACTCCCAAACCGTTGAAAACTTTTTCCGACTCGAAATTTCTATATCCAATAGTCAGTCACCTCATTAAAACAAATCCTCCGGCGAACACATGAGACGTCGGAGCTGTAACCTCGCCGCCCACCACCGCCCCTCAGCCGCCTCGCTTCTCCAACAATTGAAGCCCCTCATTTACTCCTCCCTTTCCAATTCCCTCTCCACATTAAGCGCGGTTCAGCTCCCTGCCCGTGATGACGCTGGCCGTTTCCAGGGCGTGATTCGCGACAAAGACCTTCTCAAAATGGTCCCCGAAGGAAATAATCTCCTGGTTCTCGACCTCATCGACCAAGGCTTAATGGAACCAGACGCAAGGTTGTACGCCGATCTCCTCAAGAGATGCACCGATCAGGGTAAGCTAAGGCTGGGCAAAATGGTTTACACCCATTTTAGTGCCTCGAGGTACCGCCACTACGTCGCTCTTCAAAACACGGCTATCAACATGTGTGCCAAGTGTGGGGATATGAAGATGGCACGCAAGGTGTTTGATGAAATGATCGAACGGGACATGGTCTCCTATACCATTCTGGTCACTGGGTACTCCCACCATAACGAGTTCAAGGAGGCTTTGTTTCTGTATATAAATATGTTGAGAATTGGATTATGGCCGAACGAGTTTACTTTCAGTAGCGCTCTTAAATCTGCAGGCGGTCTGCAGAGTTATGTGATCGGTGGAGGCATTCACGGGTCATGCTTAAGGAGTGGGTTCGGGGAGAACGTGTATGTTGGGAGTGCTTTGGTGGACATGTACGCCAGATGCAAGAGAATGGAAGATGCGAAGATCGTGTTCAACGGGCTGCACTGTAAAAACGAGGTTTCTTGGAATGCATTAATTGCAGCGTATGCTCGGGAAGGAGAGGGACACCATGCAGTGTCCTTGTTCTCGGAGATGAAAAGGGGTGGGTATGGGAGGACCCATTTCACATACTCGAGCATTTTCGCAGCTTGTGCAGGCAGCGGGGCTATGGAGCAGGGCAGGTGGGTCCACGCGGACATGGTGAAATCAGGGACAGAGCTCGTTGCCTTTGTTGGAAATACGCTGCTCGACATGTACGGAAAAGCCGGAAGCATTGAGGATGCCAAACGGGTTTTCCGCCGTTTGGTGAAAAAGGACGTTGTCTCATGGAACTCAATGCTCACGGCTTACGCGCAGCACGGTTTTGGTGAAAAAGCCGTATCTCTCTTTGAAGAGATGCGTGGGGCCGGATTTCAGCCGAACGGGATCACTTTCCTATGCGTGCTCACTGCCTGCAGCCACGCGGGGCTTGTGGACAAAGGGTTACACTACTTTAACCTCATGCGGAAGTACGAACAAGGGCCCGACATCACACATTGTGTGAGTGTCGTCGACTTATTGGGCCGGGCTGGGCAGCTCGACCGTGCGCTGTGCTTCATTCAAGAAATGCGAGTGAAGCCCACAGCAGCTGTTTGGAAAGCCCTGCTCGGGGCCTGCAGGATGTACAAAAACACGAATCTCGGCACTTACGCTGCTGAGCAGGTTTTCAAGCTCGACCCTCTCGACTCTGGGCCCCACGTGCTGCTCTCCAACATCTATGCCTCGACGGGCCAGTTGACTGATGCTGCACGAGTGAGAAAGGCGATGGGTAGGTGTGGGGTGAAGAAGGAGCCCGCGTGCAGTTGGGTCGAGATTGGGGGAGCTGTTCATGTGTTTGTGGCGAACGACGACACGAATCCCGAGAGGGAGGAGATTCGGGTTATTTGGGAGAAGATGAGAGACGGGATTATGAAAATTGGGTACGTGCCTGACACGAGGCATGTACTGTGGTATGTGGATGAGAGGGAGAGGGAAGAGAGGCTGCAGTGCCACAGTGAGAAGCTGGCACTTGCGTTTGCACTTTTAAAATTGCCGGCAGGACTGCCCATCTCGATAAAGAAGAACATCAGGGTGTGTGGGGACTGCCACACGGCGTTCAAATTTGTGACCAAGTTGGTGGGGAGAGAAATCGTGCTGAGGGACACGAACAGGTTCCACCACTTTAATGGTGGCTCGTGTTCTTGCAGGGACTATTGGTAGTTCATGAGGGGCGAGTACATATTGGGGCAGTAACGTTTGTGAAAATTACTGTTCTTTTTTTTTTTTCCCATCGATAAACAACTAAAAGCATAAAACTCAAGAAAAGTGCACATCGAGCAACCAAATGGTCGCAAGTTCAAACACTAACTTGGCCAAACATGTACCAAGTCAGGTTCACTAACTTTTCAAGAAAATTACTGTTCTAAAGTTCTTTAATTGTTATCTTTTCTTTCTTTCTTTAATTTCACATTTGGAGCTTTATTAATCCGGTCAGATGTATGTTTAGGTTGCGATTCTGTGTTTGGGGTGTCAAATTTTTTGCTAACTTTCACTTTAACGTACTTCTTTGAAGTAAATGTACAAACGGAAGTGTTTGTAAAGCAACTCATGTTGTCCAACTCAAACTATTTGGAGAAACAAGTGGTGGTGATATGACTGCTTCATATTAACTCTTCATTCAAACATTTCAAATTATCAGTTCACTACATATAGAGCATAAATTTCATTTCCTCGTGTTAATCGACCCTTATGAAAACTTGATGGTAATTTGCTTTCAACGTGCAGAGTGGTTCCAAAAGCTCTGGTTCATGTCGAGGTATGCACGACTGCTGTTTTTATCATGATCTCTAAACGACACTTTTCAATATCACGAACTTCTATGAATACGCCATATATAAACACAGCAAGAAAAAGTTGTATGTGAGACTTCGTTCATATATTGCACGAATGATACGATGATAGTCGTGATACTACAACTTTTGTGGAGATGAAAGGGAATCGTGATAGAATTTAATTCTCAAGTGACTAAAATTTTGTATAGAGTTTGATTTATAAAATTTTGAGGAAAATGTGTCCGTGTGTATGAGTCTTATGTCGACAGATATCTGGCAAAGGCATTAGGGACGTGAAAATCGTGGTCGCTATGCATGAGCGTAAAGCCAAGGTGGCTGAGATAGCAGAGGCGTTTATTGCTCTTCCATGTTAAATAAAATTTAAAAACAATTTCAACTAAATCTTGGACATACTAATATGATCATCCTGCGTATTCCATTAAAATGGTGTTCGTTTTTATTTAGGTTTGATTTTTTTTCGGCCATGCAGGAGGATATGGCTCCTTGGAGGAGTTACTAGAGATGATAACATTGGCACAACTTAAAATCCAGTTAAGCGTCTGCTCATACACCTCGATTTTCTTAGTTACGAAACTTTTTTTCTCTCTCACGATTTCAAAAGTTGTTCATGGGACAGGTTGGTTTGCTCTATATGACTATTAAATGGCTAATGATGGATCTAATCTATTTAAGGTTGTAATGTTTGTTGCTTCAGATACTTGTTGGTTGCTGTCAGCTTTTTTCTCAGTCTTGTGTCTTTGTTCTATTATATTTATTTTTATAAATGAATATGTTCTCCTGAAATATATGTTTATTTGAACTGACATGGATGTACACCTCCTTTGTTCCAGTTTGTATGATAGCTTTTGTATCTTCTTCTCTGCACAATATTTGGTGTTTGACATCTCTATTCATTTTATTATAAATATATTCAGATATAGACTGCTTCCTTGGGAGCACTCAAGGTCCGTATCACGTTCCAGGTCCATAACACGTTTTAGATCATGGTCTACACCAAGGGACAGATCTAGGTCTAGGTCTGGTTCAAGAGGTCGTGGCAGGTAAGTATGTAAGCTAATCCTTCATATTGTGCTGGCTGGAAAATATTCATCTTTCTATCGACACTGAAACTTTTCCTTGAATTCTCTTATTCTGAAGTCAAACTTCATTTTCAAATGATGCCAACTGATAATTTTGTTAAGGACCTAGGCTGGGATGCAGTAAAGAAAACTAAAAGACAAGGAGAAGAATCTCTCTCTCTCTCTCTATATATATATATATATATCAAGCACTTGGTTTCTTGCTATGAGTTTGAAATTTAGTGATTTCACGCGACGGTGCGTGTGGGTGTAATAAATATTATGTTACTTTCTGGCCAATGCCTTTGGTCTTGTGGAAAAAAGTGTAAATATTGATAATTGCAAATGGATCTGGAGCATCTAGTTGGCCAATCCCACTTGATTAATTAATATATATATTATTGATAATTGCAAATGGATCTGCAGCATCTAGTTGGCCAATCCCACTTGATTAATTAATATATATATTATTTATAATTGCAAATGGATCTGCAGCATCTAATTGGCCAATTGGCCATATTGCCTTCAACTTCTATGCCTATAAATAGGCTACTCGGGAGAAAGAGCAAATGCACCAAAAAGACGGAAGAAAAGAGATAAAGAAAGAAAGGAGAAAAAAAAAAAAAAAATT